AGGTGGCAACATAGCAGAAAAGACAGCACTCTCCTCACTTCAGCGTTCGACTTCAGGGATATACGTGTTCATTTCGATCGAAGTTTTTCCTCGTTATTGGATTTGACTGCAATTTCGTCCCTGAGTTTACACCTTTAACAAATATGGCGTCCGCTTGATTCAAAAGCGCCTATCACCTGCGCCCAGGCGCTTACTTTGAGCCCCTCGAGACATCACATTTGTTGAGAACTGGTCTCCAAATGCATTCTGACCGTTTGAACACGAATATCATCCTAGCTTGAAGTAACGCTTGGTGCCTATGCTATGAACACTACGCGAAAACTGCCTTCGGCGCAGGCGCCCGGGGCGGAGGTTAGGCACATTCGTTTTGAGCGGATGTGATATTCATATTCAGAAGGTCAAATTACTCTCGAAGGGTCTAGTAAAGGCTGAATAGTGCCAAATGTATTTCCTATGTTGCTCTGAGGATGATGAAGGGATGGAGTACCATTCTCACAACATTAGCAAGAAAACCTTTACGTTTTCTATTGTCAAACAGCCCAGCTATGTTTACTAGTACAGCAGTCGGCAGTAATTGAACTCCGAAAATCCTCTGTCAAGGCTTGCTAGCTTTTCCCTTTTGGAGTGTAAATAAGGAAAGAAACAGGAGAATAACCAGCACACAGCAAACAGAGCCTATGCGACTCCACTTTTTAGCGATGTTACAGTGCTCGTCTTGACCAGCCACCACGCGTAAAACAGCACACTATTCCCTAGCTAGTTGACACATAGCAGCATTGACACGATGAGTAAATCGGGTCGTACTACGAGTGCTGCGTACGTGACACCATTTTTAGGGCTGTATTCATACTTTACGACAGCGTCCACCAGCGAGGAGTACGACATTGTATAGTACGGTACGGTTGCACACTCCGCATTTTCAGCACGCTTAATCCAGCTGTCTGCTCCCTCTTACTTCCCCATACTCCAACAACAGGCCGCTGACATCCTACCCCCTAGTTCCTACTTTTGGTCGGGTGTGGACGGCCACAAAGTATTAATGTAGCCTCAGCATCGCTTTCGTCGCCCCTACATTATCTACCTTATACGGCCCTTCCCTCTTCAAAGTAGTGGAAACAGAAGTGAACCATTTCAGTTTGAAATGTGGGCTGATTTGCGTAGATTATGGAATGAATGTGAAGGATGATTATGTGGGTTCTGTCGTCATCGTCGCGACTGAGTTTTGTTGAACTGCTTAGATGGCGGAATAGGTATCAGCTATGGGAGGGTCCGTGGTCCGTTCTTCACATACGCTGGATTAGCTTACTGATTTGTTAGTGGATTGTCTAAGTGATGAAACTCCACTATTAGGAAATGGGCAAGGATGATAAGCAGCTCATATAAAGCGATATCGTAGAATGAGTTCATTGCTAAAATTGCTTCAGTGCAGATTACTCAGGAGCTATGGAATGGAGCTCAGACTGGATTTTGGAATCAAGCAAAGACGGATTCTTCCATGGGAAGGTTACGAGTTAGTTAGTTAATTAGTTACCAAATCAACCGAAAGTCACTGAAACTCCGCCAAGGCTGTCTGCATGGAGGTGTGGGATGATAAAAGGAGTGTGAGGGGGAGGAGGCGTTAGCAAATAGGACTAACATGAAGTATACTTTATGTATAGGTTCCTCTATATCTTCTAAAATGGAAGATACTCTCGGAGAAAAGAGCAGTATATTGAGGGCTAAATTTCCATCCACCGAGAAGCTCTGCCCCCAGTTAAGATGAACCAGAACTACTCGCACTAGCTCCAGGAAACGATTGGCTGGCCGACTCGTTCTTATTTCAAAAGCCAGAAAATGATTGCAGTAAATCAAGGCCAAGTCGTGTCAGAAGCCAGCAACTTTTCGAAACTGTGAACTACACAGAAATCTTCAATCTTTTGTTATTAGGTGCAGGTGCCTGCGTCTCTTGCGGCCTTCAAGAGAGTCATTATCTAAGATAGGATTCTTCAAGGTATGTAGGTATTTCGGGTTGTATTGCATCTCTCTCCCATCGTGTTATTTTACTGCGATATTTCTCCCATCATGTTTTTTATGTTTTGTCTTAACTGGTTCTTTTTATCGGTTGGATTTATTAGACTTGCTCTCTGTTGTGTTGTAATTGGATTCCACATGTGCTTGCACATATAATAAACTGAAATTGAAATTGAAATTATTCGCAATGCCCACTCGAAACTGGAGCCGAAAGGCGCTGAATGATTGAGAAGGAATCAAAGAAAGTTTCCCTCGTGAGAGCTCCATTAGGACAAGAAGTTGACTACCGCTACCTCTCAAGGTCTCCAACGGATATTCTGAAAGAAGACACTAGCGCACAGGGCATAAATCCATGAAAAACATCTTGAGAGCGTTCCTGGTCAGCGCGAAGAAAATTCTTACGATTTTGGGCGCCGTTCGCCCAGGATTGACGGAATTTTACCAGTTCCCGTTGATGTGTAAACCTGAAAAGTCTTGTAAAGCTGCAAAACGGTACCAACCTCAGTAATTCTGTACAAGGCCAAGCTTTGAACGACCCCTAGACCCTTGTGAAACGAAACACAGTGAGCCTGCTTTATGGATATTTTGTAAGCCTTACAAGAGATTACAGGCCTCAGCAAGGCGGCACGACGGAGACTGTTCCACCTTGCAGCTTTACAGACTCCACGGGCTTCACTTAGAAAATTGAAGGAACCAGCCGACGAATGAAATCCCTCCTTTCCATGGAGAACAACGTCCAATCGCGGATAGTTGCAGATTGTATTTTTGGGTTAATCATTCTTACTTTGACTTTCGTGTTTGAACTTTTATGATGGAAGTTTTTATTGAGCACGGGATAAGACGTTCCTCGATTGCTTTCAGAAACTCACTGGGCACAAAATCCCATCCAATATCAGATTCTATTGCCAGGGTTTCAGACAGCATATGGAATCTTTAAGTGTTCTTACTCAACAACACACATAGATCGAAAGCTCTCCGTGTTCAACCAGGCTTTACTGTCTAGCGGGCGTCCTCAAAATTGTTAATTTATCTAGAGGCATATTTTGCTGTGATCGCGCACTAAAAAACGCCCAAGAGCCAAGGTAATATTCACCGATTACTGAACAACCGAAAGTTGGCTAACGTTGCCGAAGTGGTTATTTTCGCGCCAGAGCATACCCCGAAGTCCGCCTGCTCTGACCATCTTACTGTAGAATGCTCGGTCTACTCGCTTACAACGCTTCCGGAGAACACCCGTCGCGACAAGTTAGAGTCTTTATATTGCGCCTCAAAAGACACACTAGATAGACACGCTCTCTCATCACCAGCACTCCTCTTGGCTGCTCCGTACGCCGTCCTACCCCCCCACCACCGCTGTGTCTCCTTCGTTCTATACGACCCGCCATGATAAGGCCAGTTGGAAGGAAGTACGTCGATGCCGCGATGCGCTTTAATCCTCCACTTGTACGACGTGAAGAATGTGCGCTCAACGCAAATCAACGGCTGGCAAATAGTGTGTTATTTACTGCCCCAAAAGAATTACTGCCATCAAAAACATGCAGGACAGAGCCCTTTTCAACAGAATCCACCCATGTAACGAAAGACCTAAATAACGAAAAATGGTCATACCTTCTGATTTGCGCCTTCTGCAGGCGCTGCTGCTGCTCGAGCTGCAGCGGCTTGTTGCAGAGCAGCAGCCTGCTGTGCCTTGAAAACAAACATTACTATGGTGATCAGATGTTCATTGCTCAAGAGATGTGTTGTGCTTTCAAAAAAAGCAAGGCTTAATTATGGAGAATTAGCGTTCACTGCCGTTGCAAGAAATCATTAGAACTATAGGCTGTCTATGAAGGCAGGGATATGAGGAGCGTTTTTTGTCGGGGTGCTAAAGCTTCCCAAATAGGTGAGGACTGATACCATGGAAGACACTATGCCTCTACTAATATTGCATTGTATGAGCATACTTTTCAGTAAGAACTTGTTTTTTCCTCAGATTATCCGTTTTCTGCACAAATGCACGGGAAAGGGGCTGGCGGGTAGTGATAGCGGTGTGCCGTCACCCGATTCCGCCCAGGCTATACTCAAGTTGCAGCAATGCTGCTGATATATCAGAAACGGCGTACCTTCCGTCTTCTCCGTACCGCAAGTACATTTCGTGAGGTGCCTTGATTTTATATGAGAGGTGAGAGATCAGTTCACAAGCTCTTTTAAGCAGTGACAGCTTTTTCTAAACTGTCCTACTGCTTTTTTCATTGGCCCATGTAGGACCGCAGAACTGGGGTCCATCTTTCCCAAGCGCTCTCGAGTATGTCGGAAGGCAGCGGGATCATCTGGACCCTCCCAAAAACTGACGGAACAGTGATCTCCGT